TGTCATCAGTCTAATCACCAAACTTCTGGGCTTACCAACAGCTAAACAAGGTTTAGAAGTTAGTTCGTGGGAAGCTGATCCTTGACCTTCCACCACTGAACCGCCGATGTACAAATTCTAACCATCGAGCAATATCAAATTATGCTCACTGGACAATTATATATATATATATATATATATATATATATATATATATATATCAAAATAAGGAAGGCAATAAGGAAGAAAACTGACAAACTGGTCGAAGAAGCAGCTAGCGAAGACAGGACTCCAAGTGAACATAGACAAGACGGAGGTTATAAAAATAACCAACCAACAACAACAGCAAAATCCAGCGCCAATCACCATCAACGGGAGGGATTTGAAAGGGGTTACTTTATTCACTTATCTAGGGAGCATTGTCTCAACTACAGGGAGTTGGAACGGACGAGGATGCCAAATTGAGCGAGAATCGGGAAGGCGAGAAACATATTCATCGACCTGAAACCAATCTGGAAATCTTCATCACTCAGGCAGCATCAACAAAAAAATTCAGTCGGATTTTCAATACAAACGTCAAGTCAGTCAGTTCCTCTATACGGATCAGAAACTTGGCGGGCGGGCGGGTCACAAAGAATATTTCCAACAGCCTGTTGCAGGCGCTACCTTTATCAACAACTGTCTTCACTCTATACTGAAGATCAGATGGCCGAGCCGGAAAGAATCACCAACAAGAAACTATGGGAAGAAACAAAACAAGAACCGATTTCCCAGCAAATATGCAGGAGAAAGTGGAGATGGATTGGACACTCGTTGAGGAGGCCGTCGCTGGGCAACATCGTGGGTCAGGCCATTGCTCGAGTGGAACCCGAAAGGGAAGCGGCGAGTGGGATGTCAGTGCAAGGGTGACATGGAAGAGATCGTGTGAAGAGGAGTTGAAAGAGTATGGACTAACATGGATGCAAGTGAAAAGTACAGCAGAAGCAAGTAGAGACGTGCAGTTGAAGCCCTATGTTCCTCTAGCAACCCAAGGGAGCAATAATAATTTTGATCATCTCAGTTTATTCGACACCGAATATTTTTATATTTGGATGAGAATAAAAAGGATGTCGTACACTTTAATTATGCTGTTTTATTATCTTTGCCTTTGATGGAATCTACGTGAATGATTGGTGCTTATCAAAAGAGTTATCGAAGTACAGAACAGTTTCATACTTAATGTCAGTAAAAAGTTTGAGCATTGTGGAATAGATCAAATAATTTTTAACTATATTTCAGTGGTTTACATACGATGATAAGTTTTTGTTTTTTTTCGGTAGTATTTCGAGCAAAATTACTACTCGAATTTAAAAATTAAACAATTCCAACAGTTGGTGTGACCACGGGCAGTAATTTCGCTGGAAATGTTACCAAAAAACAAAAATTTATCATTGTGTGTAAACCATTGAAATATAATTATGCATTATTAGAGTTTCTTACCTACCTTATGGCTGTTGAGCTTTGTGAATCAAAGTGCGTATTCAGGACCAGGTTGTAGTCTTGCAAATAGCAACTTATGAATATCTAATCTTGTGTTTTTCAACAACTTTTCTTAATGTTGTGTTATACAGCAACTTGCAAGCAATATCATTAGTGAGTATATATCTTGGCAAATAACCTCGAACTCTATACCGCCTACCACTATATTTTGATCCCCTGTGGCACTGCCAACATTTCCAAGTGAATGTGGTATCATATGTACAGAATTCGTTGTCTATTGCTCATTGATTTTTGGTAGCACTCTAAGCGACATGAATTTGTACTAAAAACTTTAATATTGAACAGATTGTATGCTTTTCCATATTAGATAAACTTTTTTCGTCGGTGGCACAGTGGTTAGGACTCTCGCCGACCATACACATGGTCCGGGGTTGGAGCCCACACCGACGCACATCTGATATCTATGGTCGGCCTGCAAAATTTGGGCTACCGATATCCATGCTGAAAATTCCATACTTGTACCGAAAATACAGTGTGGAATCAAGCTGTAAATCTAAAAAATAATAATACATGGTGATACAGTATTGATAACTGGGTGACTTTTCGAGCACAATTTAATGTTCATAATCAAATTAAAGTATTCACAGCAGCAGCAGAATAGCTCAGTAGAGGGGAAATTCACATAATCGTCATGAGACTAACGAATGACGAGACATATGGAAAACTGAAATATATAAAAAGCAAATTATAGTGCCGTGTGTATACATTGATACAATTATGAGCAATGAATTGTTATTAATACTATATCACTGTGTTCTGTCAGACAAACTTTTTTAACAGGGAATTATTTTACATCACAGTGAATAAATTCTAAGCTTACATTATTTACGCTAGCCATTTAAACTAGCCAGTTCTTCAAGGACTCGATGAATTGAGGTGTCACGCTCCTTGATAAATCAATTTTTGTTAATGAAAAACATTGTATTTATCCGGTTAGGTTGTTTGGAAACTTTCGTTATGTAGACTGACATAAAATCTTACTCAAATGAAATCCATTTCAATTTGCCATAATACGTACACAAGAAGTGAACAAATCAACAAGAGAATAATACAAAGACACGGAGAAGAAGCGGAGTGAAGATTAAATCAGTCGTTTAAATTATAAGATTCGATTTAGATATGATAGAGAAGATTTTTAGTTCAGGTGGATGCTTTTGATGTGGTTGTGTTCTCTGAGCTGGATAGTTAATTTGCGAAGCTTTCATCGCCCTACTAGGCGACATCTTCAGCGCATAATTCAATTTGAAGTGAGCTTTGAGATTTCTCCAGGAGTTTATTAATCATCTCTCCTGGTGACCTTGGATGTGATTGGTTGCTTTTGTGTGTTTTCACATCTCCTAGGTTACTTGTATTGGAAATGATTGTTTCTTTCTTATCGGTTGATAAATTTTGTCTATCTCGATGTGTCTATTGACTGATGATTCACTGGAATACCATGTAGGCTTCTAAAAATTCTCTAACATTCTTGTTGTTTCCTCTGTCTAATATTTGAACGTTGTCCCAGTCGAATTGATGTCCGTGGTTGTCTGTATGTAGTGATATGAGGAAATTGATATCATGGCTACCTAGCCGTCAAAAGACATGATATCCACTCCCACATATCACTACATACAGACAATCACGGACATCAATTCGACTGGGACAACGTTCAAATATTAGACAGAGGAAACAACAAGAATGTTAGAGAATTTTTAGAAGCCTACATGGTATTCCAGTGAATCATCAGTCAATAGACACATCGAGATAGACAAAATTTATCAACCGATAAGAAAGAAACAATCATTTCCAATACAAGTAACCTAGGAGATGTGAAAACACACAAAAGCAACCAATCACATCCAAGGTCACCAGGAGAGATGATTAATAAACTCCTGGAGAAATCTCAAAGCTCACTTCAAATTGAATTATGCGCTGAAGATGTCGCCTAGTAGGGCGATGAAAGCTTCGCAAATTAACTATCCAGCTCAGAGAACACAACCACATCAAAAAGATTCGATTCCTTCAGTTACCAAACGTGTCATTTTGGATGGAGGACAAAACCAAATGTCTTGAAAATTCTTTTGCTTATGCAAAACCCTTTCAAAATATTTATAAAATTTACAAATTTATAATATCATAAGTAACCAAGTTCAAAGAACTTTAGATAACTGTGTGTTTATCAACAAACTATATTTAATCAGGATGATTTCTGCCATCAAGTCGTTTGTCAACCAAATTTACAATACGGTCACACTACTGATTAACTAGACACTGAGGCATTCAGGTTTTTTTTATTTAAAGCTTGATGTTGCAGTTGTAGTCATGACTGGTATGTCACCAAGGGACTCCATATTTCAGATGTTATCGTAATACTCTTTTATTGACTCAAGCAACTTGTTAGCTACTACGCAAAAAAAACTTGTCAGTTACACTAATTACAGCCTATTTCGATATTTCATAGTAAAAGTGAGTTTTAACAAGTGTGTCATTCAGCTTCAGAGCTCTCTGCTAGTTGATAGTCAAGGCTTAATCACATAAATCATTAATTGCAATTAATATCATTACCGACATGTATATTTATCATCGGCTGTTGTAGAAGGAATGAGTGAGTAATTAATTTCTTAACAATATTAATTGTGGCTGTTTCTCAACTCCGGTTGCATTTTGTTACCTCAAGATGTAAAAAGAAGGACCATAAGGTTTTGTGTTCACATTAAAATTTAAAGTATTTTGGATAAGAATAGGAATATTTTTCTTCTTTTTTAACTAGTAAGAAATGAAAAATTATTGAATCAAATAAATTTCCTTGTACTCAGAGTTTCGACACTAATAACAAGGCAGTATCTTATATGGTTCAAAGGCTTGATGACTCACCAAAATACTTCCAGCAAAATTTCATCAACAACTGCACACTCCACTTCACACTGAAGACCAGAGAGCCAAATAGAATTAACAAAAAAGAAGTTTAGGAAACAACCACTTACTCAACAAATATGCAGAAGACAATGGAGATGGACTGAAGATACTCTACAGAGATCGCTCCAGTCCCTCGAATACAACCTGAATGGGAAATGACAAGTTGGATGTCCAAAGGTGACACGAAGGAGATTGTGTAAAGGAGGTGAGAACTTACAGGTAATCGTGAAGCTGGGGAACAAAGTGGGATGAAGAAGTGCTGCTAAAGCCCAATGCTTCATTGGAACCAAAAGAAATAATAATAATGCATTCAGGTTATTCAGCGAAAGTGTATCATAAGCTTCAGGAGGGTTATTTGAATCGGTTTTCAAGTTTTATTGTGTCGTATCATTTAGTGTAGTAGTCGTCGATCTTACAAATGAACGGCCTTAAAAACGTCTATAATAATAGGCACTTTTAGACCATTTGGATTAAACAATAAATATTTTTACTGTCAATCGTCTAACAATGGAATCTGTTTGTTTTCGAATTACCTTTAAACAATTTTCTCCTTTATTCGGAAATCTTACTTTCTTACTTTTCTTCAGGGATCTAGACAAAATATCACAATTAACATAAACGCAACGAGTACAAATGCTTCTGAGGTATTATCTTTTTGCCATACAACGACATCAGAGATGATAGTGGGATGGAGGCAACCAGAACAAAAGGAAGACTGGGGTTTGGCGTTTAAATTCAAGTTGTATGGCACTGATCAATATTCTTTTGATTCAATTGTTTTTATGTATAATCTGGATGATGGTATGATGATGCTTGTATTTTTAACAAGTTAATAGTATTATTTAACAATCTAATTTTATATGATAATGTACATAACTAATTATGGTAACAAGCTAATGACAACGATGAAATGCCTTAGAAAGTAACAGTAACAGTTACTATTCGTGTGAAAGTATATGACGCACCGTACTCTCTCTCTCTCTCTCTATATATATATATATATATATATGTATAGTTCACCTTCGCCCCTTCATTTTTCGACTTCAGGACTTGGCTTTTAGAAGCTTTGTCTAAAATCTAATGTAAGCATACTCATCATCTTTACCAAAATAGAAGTTCTGAAATACAAATAAAATAGTGGATGCCTAAAGTAGATGTCGTTGAGCTAAAGTGCTAAATGTGAGAAAAAAATTCTGATTGACAGAAATGTATATATTTCAAATAAGCATACACTTGTCATACACTTACACCAGGCTATACAACACAAAATTTCAGCTTGCATTAGTACTTTGGCGATCTTCTTTAGATAAATCAGATCACTGAATGATGAATATTCGTGAGACTATGATAAATACTATTTGCGTAGTCATTTATACGGGTAACAGTCTTTGTTGTAGATTTTGAGGCCATCACCTAGGTGTATTTACCCAAAAACAGAAATAGCACTGCCGACTGTTTTTTTTCAACATATTTAAAATTCTTGATTTGCAGTTTTGTTTTTATTCTGTTGTATCATTTAAATCTGAGATGTACACTAGGTAATTTAAGAACTACACTTCAGATACCTATTATTGACTACCAAGTGTAGGTGAAATAAACAGTGTTCGGCAAATACACTGTACTCTTATAGATCAAGAAATGAGCAATACAAGAAAACTACAGTTACAAAGAAGGACTTATGTACATAGGTAAGCCGAAGTGTAATATGAAGACTGGAAAAGTGACACTTAGAATTACTGAGTCAAATAACTTTTTAGAGGTGTCAAAAGTTTAGCTATTTTGTAAAATTAAAAAGTTTTATTTCAGATGAAACAGAAACCACACTAATGACTGTACGAGTCATTTTGCTGGTCATCCGAATGGGTGTTCAAATGACAGAAGTATAGTGAAAAAAAAACTAGTTAGGTCAGAAGTGGTGTCTACTGTGACAAAACACAGTATACATTTCAAAATCATAAGCCTTACACTGATCGCACGATATGCATAAAATAATAATAATTCAAGTGTTGGTTTGTAGGGATTTGATTGGTTTCAGGATTTCATCATGAGCTGACATTAGTTAGAGAACCATTGGAAAACCAGCGGTGAGTACTGGACAGCTGTTTCGTCCTAGTGTGGGACTCTTCAGCAGTACGCACCCACCGGGATTCGAACCCATAATAATATCTTTCCTATCTGTTTCTTTTTGAATTTTCCTCAGTTTATTCGCCTTCTTCTCACATCTCTTCATTGACTTTTCCATTGACATACAAACTATCACTGTTTGTCTGAAGATGTCGTTCGACATACTACTTATATCACATTTACAAGTAGTACACACCACTGAAATGTACTGTTGATTATTTTGTGCATATCCTTAGAGTATGCCACCTTTAGACGACTGATACTTGAAGAAATTGGTTCACTTTGTATAGATTTAATTGAAAAAAAATTAAATTATATTTTCACCACTTCATTTTCATTTCACCTACCACGATCACCAATTTCTTCGTATTTCCTGTGCTTCAGTTTTAATTGAACCGAATATATGAGCTTTGTCAAAATTATTATAAGCAGCCTGACACCCTGAGAATAAATGGCAAGTTGTTTCCTTTCAAAAAACTTCTTTAAAATGAAAATGACGATGACTGATATGAGACCTAACCGTTTATAATAGCTGGTTTGTGGCATAATGATTAACATTCAGGTGGTTTCCTCATTAAACAGCGCTAAATTGAAAACCAATTAGACTGGCGAGATCTGATTAAATCTCCCACCCAATTTTGAGACTGTCTGAGATTACAACGTGGTACAGTGTCGAGTCCAAGACTTTTAGTCGACGCTCCGACGGGATTATAATTCATGTCTAGTTATAATCTAGTGAGAGCTCACTTATTTTGGTTTTCTCCATTTGAGTTGTTGAGACACGTCATTTACAGTGAAAGTGAATGGTGGTGGTGTGTTATGATTTACAAGAACCTAGCAGAGGTTCAGTCATTAACTTATATTCCCACAACTGGATATTGATATTTTCCTAGGGAAACTACACAACAGTCAAATATGTATATTGTGTCTTTTATATTAACAGCTCTCTACCTGATGCTAATCTCTGGTTAAAAATTTGTTTACAAATAGAGTATTACAATGTACTCTTTGCTGTCCAGTAGATTTTGCCAGTGAAAATTAATTTTCAGAAAATTAATTAACAGATAATCCGTAGAAACTATAGATTTATCATTCTTCTCAAATGTCGAACGTACACCCTCATAGGTCACTTCGTTCTAGAACAGATGACTAATAAATTTCACTAAGCGAATCAATATTGTCGGCAAAAGACTTCCATTTTTGTGAGTTTTATTTCAATTAAAACAAAGCAATCGATAAATACTTAAATAATGAATGCATTTCTAAACTATGTGCCAATTCTGAGTGGTGTTGTGATAAGTCCATCATAATTAAGAATTCCTCTTACCTAATCACGTGTCTTTTGAGAAGTGTAACAAGCACTAAAAGCTCTTTGATTTTGTATTCACCAGACGAAATCAATCAACATTTCAAGAGTTAACTGATAATGCTTCTCTTCAAGGAAACCTTTGTATACGTATTTTCAATATTTGCAACCCTGTATCACATGTTGCACAATATAATGCAGTAGTACGCAGTGAAGTACAATAATACGTCATATACTAGTATGTGATATTCTAAATTTAATCTGAAACAAGTTTTTTTAGTTATTCCAAGAATATTTTGTCTACTTAAACGCATTCTAATACGTAGTCATTTAAACTTCACTTGGTTTCGAAATTTAAGTATCAGTCTTAATACATAATGGAATATGCGAAAATGTATAAAAATACTTATCTTGCCCCTAACAAGACTAAAATATGTGGCTACAGGTCCCACTGTACTTAATAGTCTCTTAATGTCAACCAATGAAACAAACAAAAACATTGTGACTTTGACGATTAGAAAATACACGTAACACGAATCGGGCATATTTTTCCCTAAAATTTATTACTTTTAACAAGATTTCTTATAAATTATTCGGTTATTTTTCACTTTACTGATATCATTTACCTTGCATGCTAATACAGATTTTCATGCTCTCTGAACACTTTATGCCGTTTAAACTTTTTTATATAAAAAGTTTATGAATTATCACGTCTACTGGTGACAGTTTTATGGATGACATACTATGCTGTAGTTGACATGAAGAAATGATTCGTTCCCCTGACTATATTGCTACATTTGAAAATGTTCCCACTGCCTGATAAACTGACTTTTAAAAGTAGGACTGTACATAAAAGTACATCAATTCAATTTATTGCACTTCAAAGAAGCATATACAAAGGCAGGGAAATGAAATGTAATGAAACTACAATAAACGAAATTATACAGGTGAGTGAATAAGTAAGTGAAAATTAATGAGGATTTTCAGAGTGAGGACGACAATGTCACTAAGACTGTCTAACTTCTCACACCTAGCATCCCAAGGATACCAGCCAGACAGTTTTCACATCACTAGATGGCGTGAACTAATATCATGGACTGACTCTTAGTTTTGTTCATACTTCAGATGAAATCACTCGTCGAAGAAAATGATTGCTCAGAAAGCATTCCGGAGCTCCCAGTCACTTCAGTCGACAATATTTCACAATCTCATTGATTTTCTTTTGTCCTTATTCGACATCTTACAGACAACGTCATTTTCCAAGTATTGGTTTTGTAGGGATTTTGTCTGATTGGTTGTAGGATTTCGTGAGTTGATTTCACCTAGACAACTATTGGAAAACCTGGGATTACTGCTCAGTAGCGACTAGTCCATTTCAGGTAGTTCTCTGGGAAGCCGAAGGGTACAGCAGGTTAAAGGTGAGAACAGTTACTCATAGAAGAAGACATTGCAAGGCGGAAGTTGGAGTTCATGGGCCATTGGATCGAGTCCCTGTGACTTAATGGTCTACGAGCTAGGTCACCTTGTAACCAAAACGTCTTGGGCTCTAACCCTGGCGGTGGGTGCGTACTACTGAAGAGTCCCGAACTAGGACGAAAAAGCTGTCCAGTACTCCCCGCTAGTTTTCCAACGGTCCTCTAACTGATGTCAGCTCATGATGAAATCCTCCAACCAATCGGATAACATCACTGTGACTGACGATATTGCGGCACCTACTATGAGATACAGAATAGAGATATCTATGGTCAAAAACTGGTATTCTCTTCCTATTTTCCACCATCTAATGGGCATGTCTCACCGATATAAAGTGGAATACATTCGGACTTCCTAGCAGAAAATTCTTTTGTTGATTGATAACCAGTGCCAACCATGACGCTAGTTAGCAAATAACAAACAAGCCTTTTGCACCCATATTGATTCAATTTATTCAGAAGAATTTGTCTATTCCGAGTCCTATATAGTCTTCTCAGTCGCCTCTCCTGGGGAATTCCACAAGTGTCATCTTCCTCTGGAACACCTCAGTTAACACATGTCTGAACAACTGGTTTTCATATTCAGTCTAAATAGCTGACGGTTATAACCTTTTGCTGATGCCCTTTCCGTTTCTTTAGCTCTTGCTGCTCAGTGGTTACGAACGCTTCTAGTCTGCTTCCTTCTATAGGCCTTTTGCATCGTGTTATGTTGAGGCTGGTCGACATTAATCTTTTCGTGTCTACTAGTTGGTAAATTTTGTAGACATCATTGGCACTTACTAATCTCTGTTTGTAGGTTACTCATAGCCTATATAACTGTTTTTACAAACGACTAGAGATGACTCCAACCTCACCTAGACTACTAGCTTGCTAGTTTTCTAGCCGGTCCCAAGTCCGGG